ACGCGGGCCTCTCACTGTTATGGCCTCTCCCGTTGCGGAGCACAGGGTCCGGACGCGCAGGCTCAGCGGCCATGGCTCACGGGCCCAGCCACTCCGCGGCACGTGGGATCCTCCCAGACCGGGGCACGAACCCGTGTCCCCCGCATCGGCAGGCAGACTCTCAACCACTGCGCCGCCAGGGAAGCCCACAACCTATCTTTATTTTTTTTATTTTTTATTTTTTTTAATTTTTCTTGTGGTACGCGGGCCTCTCACTGCTGTGGCCTCTCCCGTTGCGGAGCACAGGCTCCGGACGCGCAAGCCCAGCCGCCATGGCCCACAGGCCCAGCCGCATCCGCGGCACGCGGGATCCTCCCGGACCGGGGCACGAACCCGCATCCCCCGCATCGGCAGGCAGACTCCCAACCACTGCGCCGCCAGGGAAGCCCCCGCAACCTATCTTTATATCCTCTTATCCATCAGCATCACCTTTCGAATGTTTTGAGTGGAGAGGAACCAAAAGTACACCTCAAATAGAAATAGAAAAGCACAGTGGACTGAACACTGTCAGATTTGTGTTAAATCCCAGCGCTCCTGCTTCATAGTTGTGTTAACTCTAAGAAAGGCACTTCACCTCTCTGAGCCACAGCCTCTTCATCAGAAAAAGACAATAGGTAAAATAGCACCTTGCAGGGTTTATATTAGAGAGCATAATGAATGCAAAGTGCCTAGCACTGTGTCTAGCTTGCTGGCATGCAATAAATAGCATCATCATTCTAAAGAGAGGTTCATCGAGGCAAAAGCAACTCACCAAGTTTTACAATCACTCACTGTCTGATAAGCAGCCAGATTTTGTAAATTCTGGGATGTAATGGCAGGGAGGCCTTGTCAATGGCTTTTGAAATTCAGCTACTAAATCAAGCCACGCCTCCCCCCCCTCCCTTGGGGCTGAGCCAGTGCTGGGTATTTTCAATGCCAATTTAGACATTGAAAAGAAAAAAAAAGAAATTATTGAAAGGAAAGTAGTTTCTACTGGTGTATTTATTATAAACCTCTGGGATAAAGGAGACAAGGAAAATGTGGGAAGGTTAGGACAGAAAATGGAGATCCTTATGGAACAAGGGAGAAAGTGCCAGCTGTGAAGTTGCCATCAGCTGCATTCATTTTCCCAGATCACTGAGACACTCTGTTCAGCATGTGTTTATCAAATACCTACTATGTGACAGGATACAAAGCCTGCTTCTACCACTTGCGAAGTCTGTGGCCTTGAGCAATTTAGCAGTCTTCACCTTCCTTATCTGTAAAATTGGAAGAACCCCTACCTCGAAGAGGCCTTATGCAGATTCGCGATATCGCCTGTAAAATTTCTGACGGCTTCCGACGCATAGAAGGCGCTCAGTGAATGCATATCACTCTCTCCTCTTCTCTATTTATTCTACTGAAATAATTATATGAAGTTAAGAAAGAAGACTGCAGTCCAGCAGGTTTCAATCTGAGTCTGCAGAAACACAGAATTTCTGATTCAGTAGGTGTATCTAGGGTGGGGTCCAAGAATTTGTATTACTGTCAAGTTCCCAGATGGGACTGATGCTGCAGGTCCAGGGACTATCCCTTGAGGACCGCTTCCTCGCCCATCCCTGTGGACCACCAGCTCCTTCCTGACCATCAAGTTTGTGAGAGGACAAGATTAATAGGTACAGAGGAGATATTAAACTGTTCAACCGATTTGACTTGTGAAAGGAAGGGAGGAGCCCTGGGATCTGACTTGAATATAATCAGATCCCTGAGGTTTCTGTGGGGTATAAACAGTTGCTGCCGGACACTTAGGATGTTTTCTTTTTTTGCATGGTCTCTATGTAGCTCCAACCCCAGCCCCTAGACAGAGCTCTCCATCCAAATCATCTGCATCCCACGCCAGTGATCCGACCACCGATGACATCTTTGAAGAGGGCTTTGAAAGTCCCAGCAAAAGTGAAGAGCAAGAAGCTGTAAGTGACCGGTTTGTTCTTTCGGTTTTGGTTTTTTTCTTCAATTTAAAACCTCTGTATCTGAAATGGACAATGCATGAGGAAACCTATGTAGAAAAGAATGCTGGCTCAGACTCTTAAGTTCTAAAGGGGTGACTAAAGGCGTTTTCTTTTATGTTCAAATGAGCAGCTGAAAACCGTTATCCTTTCATTAAGTTGTTACTACAAGTTCTCACATTTGCGGAAGTGGCATCCTCTAAAGGAAGTGCTGCCTCCTTTAAAATAACAGAGTATATGTGTGCATGAAAATATGCCCAGCTGTCTTATATTTTCAATTACTGAAAAGAAAAAAAAAAAGTGTTATCTTCTTGTGTTCTAGCCTGATGGGTCACAGGCCTCATCCAACAGTGATCCCTTTGGTGAGCCCAGTGGTGATAATATAAGTCCACAGGCCGGTAGCTAGATAGCACAGGTCTGGGTAGGTATCTGTCCTTTTGATCTCCCACCCTTAAGCCATCCGCTTTCCCTTTTGCTTGTTTGTTACCTCAAGTCACATCCCTGATGTTTGCGTCATCTCGCCCTGCCTGGTGTCTGTTTTCCACCTTGTTTATCCTCATGGATGCATGACCTTTGACATATATTGGGAGGTAGGGGATAGAGGTGAGGAGTGGGGAATGGTTGTATTTTATTAGTGATATGTTCTGAGTTGGGGGGGGGGGTGTTGCTAGAAGGAGGCATGGTCAATGCTACTGAACGTGGACTCAGTGTCTAAAAGCATCAACATTCTGAGCTGGACACCTTCTGCCCACCCTGATTCTTTCTCAGTGAAGTTGGGTCCAGAGGCTTCAATCTTTTAAGCAGTGTGTCAACTGCATTTGCCTACACTCTGCAGATCTAAAATAAGGTCACCAACCAAACACACTGAGAAGCCAGACTAAGGAACAAAAACAAGCAGTGCTTGAAATAAGATTGATAGAGATGTGAGATCATGGTAGTCCATTTTGTCTGGCCAAAAGGGGCCCCCACACCCTTTCTGACGTGAAAGTGGAATGCAAAGCTCAGAGACATGTCACGTTCGCTTCTGAGGCTCTGCTGTTTGCACCTGTGTTACAGCCCGTGGTTTGCCACCAAACCACTTCAGACTCCATCAGCAGCGGCTTCAAGAGAGGGGTACTTACATTTACTAGAAGTGGGTTTTGGCACTTGAATTTTAATACATCTGATTTTATGGACAGAAAGAGGGGCTGATGAAGCGAACTTTCCCAGGAGACAGAAGTACCCCTTGTTACCCAGGCATGATTTTTCTAAGGTCGCTCCTTGACAAATGTGTTCACTTTTCATATACTTTTCTAGTTCTCCATAAACGTGTAGGACTGAAAGGCCCTACTGACAGAGCTCTGTTTTTAGGCCTGAACATTATGGTCAGAACCATTAAAATGGTAAATAGTTTTCACTGTTCATAAATGGATTCTGAGGCTACCTTGGAATCAGTTGCAGTTCGTGTGTAAGTTATTTTGATGGTTCTTGAAAGCTCATACAGTGTTTTGAAAGTGCATTTTGCTAATAGATTTTATGATTAAAGAATCTCACGTACCATACTTTTTGCCATGTTTCACCTCAGTACGATAGCACATGAGAACACATCATGCCATGCAAATGCCCATCTAAAAATCCAGTCTTGCATAGCTATTTGGGGAACTTGTGATACAGGCAAAGTCAATGTTCCAGGAAAGACAAGAGATGATGGGTGGACACCTTGGGAAGATTCCCCCAGAGGTTTTTCTACCCCTTACATATGTTTTATTTCACATGCTCACCCTTGCCTTGAAAAATTTGTTGAATGAACTGGAGGTGACGAGAGCCATTCATCAGCGTAACAGCCAACATCATCCTAAAATTGAGTTCTTCTAGAGAATAAAGATGACATGCAGCATTTGCAGGTCGATGTTTCACACCCTCATCTTTACGAGCCTGTTCTGCTTGAGACAGTCGTACAGGCTCTTTTGTGAGGCTTCAGCCTGTTCTGTGTTTGATGTTCTGTCTAGAACCCCAGGCCAGGGTTGAGTTATGAATGGATGTGGCGTGGTCTAGTGGGAAGAGCTCAGAATTTGGAACTTGAGTTCAAATTCTAGCTCAGCTACTTAAGAGCAGGAAATCTTGGGCAAGAACCATACTTGCTGTTGAGTCTTGGTTTGCTTATCTGCTGAAAGGGCCTTATGTATACATTACATTAACTAAGACAGGATATGGAGACAGGTACTCGGTACTCGGCTTAAAAAAATCTGGTTCTGGAGCAAGAGTGAGTTCAGAATCTGGCGCTAGCACTTATAAGCTATGTGACCCTCATGAGACGTCATAATAATTCTCGATCTTATTTTGCAAAATGAGGGTAAAAATAGTGTTCTCCTCATAAGCTTATTGTTTGGACAATAATCATAGGAGGTGATATGTGTGGAGCTCTTAGCACAGCATCTGACACAGGGAAAGCACCCAAGAGCTGTTAGCTGCCATCGCCACCACCAACACCATCACCATCACCACCACCCCCATCATCATCCTATGTGCTCAATAAATGTGGTTCGCCACTCCCTTGGATTTTATACGTTTAGCCCTTATGTCCTCGTGTTGAATAAATTCTACCATAAGGACCCAGGCCACTGGCTGGGAGGTTTTGCTTTTTACTTTCTATTTGCAGGTAATTAATTTTCAATATGCCCCAAAATAGCTTTGGGAAAAAGGAAAGAGAAAAACCCTACTTCTAGTTTTCTGGCTCACCCTGTCCCATAATCAGAAGGACCCCTGTTAGGGCCTCACAGGCTGCCTCACACTTCTCAAAAAATGAGCAGCCTTAGATTCACATGTAAATCATAATAAGTAGCTCCCAGCTCCAAAGGAGGGCTGGGCTGTAATCTTCCATGAGACAGTTTTCTCCCTTTGAGAGCTTAGTCTGGCAATTACACAATCACCTATCAAGAATTGCATTCCAAGAGGCCGATGCCAGCCTTGCCGACACATCCCTTAAGACACCCATAAGGAAAGTCCAAATGAGCCTTTTGGGCCCCTCCTTCAATAGCAGTATAAGCCACGTTTGATCTTTCTGTCTCCATCCCATTCACCGGTCCACCCAACTGGAAATTTACCGACTGCAATTTCTTAGGGCCTTTCCAGACATTTGGAAAAAGGATGCCATGCAGGGGGAGTTACGTCCATGGCTCTGTCTTCCCCGCCGCCTCCATACAGTGGGAAAGCAAGAGTCTCAGCCTTCTTATCACCCTTTGCAACCATTATCTCCAGCTGCTTTTTATTAGAAATGCCCGCACGATTCTGAATAGGTAGGGGTGACATCTGTTGATAAGTTAAAACCATATTGCACCCTAGTAAGAGGCAACGGATGGCCTCAATCCTCTCAGGAGGAAGCTTCGGGGCCAATCTCAAAACAGCATTTCTGTTTTAGCAATAAAGGGGAATATCTTCAATTATTTCATGTTGTTCCCCTACCCTCCCATCTGGGAGAATCACGTGTCTTTGAAAGACTGGGTCAACAGGGGCAAAAAAAAAGAACCCAAATAATATTATAATGGCTGGCGTGGGAATGGCAGGTAATTTATACTCCACTGATATGTTGCTGGAGCAATTTTAAGGGCGAAATGTTAGCTTTTGAGGAGATGAAAGAAAAATGAAAACATTTATTTGGTTAAATGGGCTAAGTAAATAAACTGCCTATCAGACTTTCCCAGCTGTCAAGTCAAAGTAGCGTCTGTAACAATGGGGAATTGTTTGGTCTGTCTCCCTTAGTAACAGCAGATATTGCCATAAAAAGTCACTGTCATTTTTTAAGACCAATCTTCATAGTGGGAACCCAAGACATGTAAAATGTTACCTGATGGATTTATAGTGTTCAAGGGAAAAGAAAGCAGAACTTCAGATGCTTTTGGTAAGAGATTTAAAAAAAAAAAAAAAAAAGGAAAGAAAGAAAAGAAATGCCCAGAGTCAGGGGACTTGGGTCTGAGTTATGGTTCCAAAGCAGGTGACCTTAGGCAGGACTTTAGCTAGCCCCTGGAACCCCCGGTCACCACATATGGATGAAGACGAATCATAGCAAGAGCTCCCTCCTCAGGCTCTCCCAGAATCAGAAGATACCATGAGTATGAAAGTGCTTTATAAGCTTTGAAAGTAGAATACACGTATTTGGCATTATTATCACTATTCTGTTTTTTGTTTGTTTGTTTTTTTTTTTCTTTTTGGTACGCGGGCCTCTCACTGTTGTGGCCTCTCCCGTTGCGGAGCACAGATTCCGGACGCACAGGCCCAGCGGCCACGGCTCACGGGCCCAGCCGCTCCGCAGCATGTGGGATCTTCCCAGACCGGGGCATGAACCCGCATCCCCTGCATCGGCAGGCGGACTCTCAACCGCTGCGCCACCAGGGAAGCCCACTATTCTGTTTTTAAATAGAATCATGTAACAAAGAGCCTCAAAACAGAGAACCACAAAAATGGAAAAATAATCTCTCCTTTTCATGGGCATAGCACTCTGAGGCAGGTCCGAGCCAGGCTAGTCCAGGCGGGAGATGGGAAGGCCTGGTTGAGAGCAGTGTCGGCCAGGTTGGAGAGATGGGCATGATGCCCAGGGATATGAAAAGATGGAATCAGGAGGAGGTTAAGGCTGCAGGGAAGTGGGAGGTGAGGAAGAAGAGGGCGTGTGCTAGGATGACCCCCAGGTTCCTGCCTGACTGGGGGATCTAGGTGGTGCCAGGCACTGTGCTAAGGAATGCAGAGCTGCAGCCTTGAGCAGAAAAAAGGCCAGTTTACTTTGGGACCAGTTGTACCCGAGGTGCCCTTGAACTTCCAAGCAGAGATGCCGGTGGACTGCTGGATATGAGACTCTGGAGAACAAAAGACTAGAAATGGAGATTTCAACATGGTGTTCAGCCCCTAGAGTAGTGAGCACACCTAGACTCCACTGATCATTCAGACCCGAGGCCAGCACACTCTCTGGGACTATTTACTTTTTTGTGGGCCATTTGGCCTTTGTCACAACTAATCTGCTCTACTGTTGCAGCAGGAAAGCGGCAAAAGACAGTGCATAAAGGACTGAGTGTGATGAGTGCCAATAATACTTTATTTACAAAAAAACTGGCAGCCACTAAAACGGGCCAGTGGGCTGTCGTATGACGACCTCTGAGTTAGATCACGCTTACTGTTTCTAGAATCACCCTGCAGAAGCTAATGCAAGTAGCCTTGCATTTACTACTACTAATAAAATAAATGTAAAAATTACTAGGATGCTAATAGCACTTTTATAGACATCACCTAATTCAATCCTCAGGGGAATGCTCTTAAGGATTTTTATCATTCCTATTTCACAGATATGACAGGTAAGGTAGAGAGGTTTATGACACGTTGTAATCACACGATTCACACGTAATAGGGCTAGAATTTGAATCTAGACCCAGATTAAACAACGTAAGAGCACTCAAC